AACATGGTCGAAAATCATTTCTATACTCGTTCTAAATAAATGAGTGAATACTCTGTGAATACCGTAGTCGCGGAATAAGGAATATAAACAATGGACGTTACACTTATTCCTATCAAAATAAATGAAGAAAAAAAAAAACAAAGATCCTGGCAAATGGTAAATAATTTATTTCATGAAGTAGCGAATAAATTAATTAACTGAAAATTAATTTAATTTTTATGTGAAATACTTGATATACTATATATAATACTAATAAATACTTAATATACTATAATATATACTATATAATATACTACTATATATAATATATAATATATCATATAAATATATATATAATTATATTGTAAATTATATTACTATAGTATATATAATGTATATTAATATATATAATATATTATAATATATACATTAATACATTTAATATACTACAATGTAACTTCGTTATTTGACAAACAGATTGTCTCTGAACTAACATTAAAAATAATGTTATCTGAAAATTTTTCAAAACGATGATTAGATTAGATGTTGATTCTATTTTAAGTGAACGATCCTCATTTGTCTGCACTGATGTGACAGGATGCACGATGTTTCATTTCGCAGCTTCTCCGAGGACGATGACCCTGGCGAAGCCAGTCGAACGGCCCGCAGGCATGGAGACAGACCTCCGAGAAGATGCGTTCACCGTTTCGCCGATGGCGTTAAAAGCCAAGTGCTCGAAGCGGTTGAAATTTCTCGCCAGGCCCAGGAGGAGGAGCTGAGCTGCCAAATTGGCAGTGATCGCTCATTTGCGCCTGACTTTCTTTCTCCATTCTAATGTCACTCGTCGCTTGTACATTGTCCCTTCTGACTCAGAGCAATAAAAAGCATCGAAAGTTCGCAAGAACAGCCGTCGAATTTTCATTGTTACTCGTAGTAAGTTTTGCAGAGGAACAATCCTCTTGCGCGAAGGGGCAAGATGAAAAACGCGTTCGATGAACAATGGGATAATATGATAAAATAAAGGATACGGCTTGTGATACACTTGAAGTCAATTGAAATTTAATTAGAATTTAGAAGCATACGATATATACACAGAATCACGTATATATAAAGACATACGTGACGTTATTATTTTGGTTTTTAAAAGGAACAAAATGTAGGATGAAATTCTTTTTTACTCGAAGCTTTTTAGAAGGGTCGTTTTCAAGAGGGGCCCAAAAAACTTATCAACTGTACTTGCATTTAGGCGTGTAATAATTAGCAGAAGATTAATCCACGTGCACAATACGTTATTTTGCTGACAAGATGAAATCTTTGTTTTTCAAAAATCCAGCAACAACGAAACGAGTATCCAATTTAGGTTAGGAAATTATTTGACGTTTCATACGTCATCGATTC